GCGAGAGAGTGGGGGAGAATAACTTATGTGAGAATGGATACCATACAGTCAGAATTAAAGTGCCAAACACCCAAGAGGCAGTCCTATAGTATTTGGAGACGGAGAGAAGGTGAGATCATACATGGAGCCTGATGCTGAGGGGAGGGGAAGCTGTCAGCCCTGACTAGCAAAGTTAGAAGAACCTCTAGATTATTCTAGATTCAAAGACAATCTTGCTTATTTCTTCACATTGACATTGATTAATTCCCAGGCACTGTGGTATGTGATTTATATGTATTATTTCATATAATACTTATAATGCCTTGTGAGATATTATTACTCTTATTGAAGCACAGCATGCTTTGAGATTCCCCCTCCTCCCCACAATATAACACTGTCAGAACTCAGCATATTATAAATTGGATTATGAGCAGGCAGAATATAGAAATAATTGGCATGAGGCATTGTGGTCTTGATTTAGCTTAGTGACTTTGGAAAAAGCAGAAGTCTCCATGAATTGTATAGACATGGCAATCATCATACAGCTATTAGTTGGAGAAGCACCAGGACTAGACTGAGGTGGGTAAAGGACTTACCTTGCATGTAAAATTTAAGAGTTCTAGAAAATTTATCAATTAAAATAAATGATATTTTAATGCAATATTTAACAATTAAAAATTAATTCAAACAACTATGATTATAAAATATCAAAAATTTTAAATGAAGATAGGATCATTTTTACCAATTTTTCCTTTTGTTTCTGATTCCAATATGGTTTGGCGCTGCACAAGGAGGGGGGCTTGAGCTTGAATGCTATCAATTTGAGTTTAGAGCCCATTCTTGTAACCATCATCTGCTAATGTTTCTCCAGATATGAAAGATAAAAAAGAGTCAAATATAGCTTAAAGAACATAAGACTGATGGTCAAAGATAATGGTGAAACCATGGAATTGGTTCCTTAGGAGGAAAGTAGAAAAAATGACTAATTTAATTTCCCTAGTATATTTAGAAACTTAAGAATCTATAAAGTGTGTCTTCAAGGATAGAGAACAAATAAAAACCTTATTTAACTTCAAACTTTTTCTTGCTTCTCTTGGCACTCTTTTATGAGTGTCAAGAATCCAATTACTGATCTTAAGGAGCCTAAAGCAGTTTCTCCTGCATCTGGTGGTATACATTTCTGTAAGAAATAGAAGATACTATTAAGAGTACTTGAACATTGAGAAACATTTCTTATCGCATATAATAGGAGTGCTGGAAGCAGGTGATTATTCCAACATTGGACAATTCAATGCCTCAGCAATGTCATGCACTCAAGTTCTTTCATTTTTAACCTTTGCCTTTCTTAGTGATCCAGCCATAGCTCATGTGAATATAACGTGGCTACAGCAGCTCCAGGTTCTCTGACTCCATGCCACAATTTTCCCTGCTTTTAACAGCAAGAAAACCACTCCAGGGATCTCCCATCCAACATCTTATTCCAGAAACAATTGTGAATTCATGTTACTGCTTATTTGACAGAAGTATAATAGCTAAAAATCATGCTCTGGATGGTACAAAATTGGACTCCATCATTTACTAGCTGTAAAACTTTAGCCATATTATTTAAATATTTTGTGTCTCAGTGTTTCTATATTTAATATAGAGACAAAATAATATAGCTACCAAATTGGATTACTGAAAGGAAAAAGTAAGTGAATATTTGTAAAGTTTTCAGAATAATATCTTACAGGTAATATGCACTTTATAAGTGCTACCCACTGTTGTTATCTGAGGATCCTCGCTGTGATATATGTAATTTAACTCATGGGCACAGGAGAGGTAAGAAAGTAAAGTTATCTGACTACTCTTAAAAAAGAAGACATTAATAAAAAGTTTAGTCGCATTGTATATTATTCCCTTTGAAATGATTTGGGTGTCTGAGGGAGGGAATAAAGATTTACTTGAGGACTGCTATCTTATTCAATATCTGTATCTATGTCTATGTCTATATCTATTTCTAGTCCATATCTATCATTTTTAAAAATATATTTTATTGATTTTTTACAGAGAAGAAGGGAGAGGGATAGAAAATAATTAGAAACATTGATGAGAGAGAAACATCAATCAGCTGTCCCCTGCACACACCCCACTGGGGATGTGCCCGCAACCAAGGTACATGCCCTTGACCAGAATTGAACCTGGCACCTTTCAGTCCACAGGCTCTATCCACTGAGCCAAACCAGTTTTGGTCATATCTATCATTTTTTAAAGTTGTTGTCTCAGTGGCTAAAAATCAGAAGCTGATCTCAAGCCAGCAACATTGACTTCATAAAAGTAGCTTAATTTGACTATTTTAAACCCATGCAATATATATATATATATATATAATGTGTGTATGTGTGTGTCTGCAGAGTTTGTATAATACATTTAAGCATAGGGATAATTAAACAGATGTCTATTTTGTTGGATTTTATTATTATGTTCCTCAGTGAACACTTAGAAAGAACAGCAATGGATAAATGGTCTTAATCTATTCAGATCATAAAAACTCCATTTGCAGTATTCTTCCATTAGATATAAAATATACCAAGGCTAAAATGTCTTTAATGATGTCAGTACAATCCATTTCCATATATATAATTCTTTTAAAATTCTCAATTGCAATGATAAAATCCATTCATTCCCTTTCTCTGAGATTTAATCTATCCATTCAGATTACTATACCTTGCTCACACAAAACTGTCCAGAATGTAGCAAAATAAAGACCAGAGAGTAAAGCTACAGTGACATTGAATCCTGGAGAAAGGTTTCTCCGTGGCCAGTATTTTATAACTTGTCATCCTTCAATGGGTTGTGAATCTCCTCAAATAGAACATAAAATTTAAAATTTCCCCAGAAATCTTATCTCCTATCATGTTCCCCCTCTCTTGGAATCTTACCCATCAGCACAAAAATAGAAGATTTCTTCCTTCTTTAACAGTACCAACAACAGAAAACCCATTATGATTCCAGTCCTTCTTCAATCATTTCCAAATTTCTGCCACTTACTTTACAGTAAGATCTACTTACTGCCTCTAGACACTTCCCATTTGGTCTTGAATGCATCCCACTGAAACTGTCTTTTGGGATTGCCAGTGACATCATCAGTAAAGCTAAAAGTCACTCTCACTTGACCTATCAGCTACATTTGTCAGTGATCATTCATCCTCAAAACAATTCTTCACTTCATATCTATCTAGTACAGCTAGTACATTATGCTCTTTTTTTGTCTATGTTTCAATTCTCTCTCTCTCTCTCTCTCTCTCTCTCTCTCTTTCTCTCTCTCTCTCTCTCTCTCTCTCTCTCTCTCTCTCTCTCTCTCTCTCTCTCTTTCTCTCTCTTTCCCCCTTTTCTTCCTCCCTCCCTCCTTCCCTGTTCATCTCTCCTTCTCTGACTTATTCCTATATTCTAAACATTGGAGTGTTCCTGGATATACTCTCTTGTTGATCACATTCAGTGTCATGTCTTTCCAAATCTTGTTCTCTGTCAAACTCCCAAGTTTCTACCTTCAGTGAGAACTTCCCTTTTGTAGATCATAGTGAGGTATACAATATGACATATAGATGTGTAAAAGGCAACTTAAGTGTGACAAGTCTGAAACTCAACTACTTATACATTCCCCCTAAAATCCCTGCTGCTTCTCTCAAGTTCTTCCCATTTTAGTAAATGAGTTATCCTGTACCCTTCTCTTTCACACCCTACAGGCAAACTGTCAGTCTATACTATTAATTCTATCTTTCAAATTCATTCAGAATCTGATCACATCTCATCCCACACACTGTTAAGACCCTGATAGAAATTATGGTAATTTTTCTGCTAGATTACTTCATTTGGCTCCTTTCTGATCTTCCTATTTCCCATCTGGAATTCTTCCAATAATCAACACAGCAAAAGACATTGCATGAGTAAAATCACTTCATTCCTCTTTCCGTGACTTCCTATCACAATCAGAGTTAAATACTATGGTTGAAGTATTTAACATATAGATAATATAATATGTTGGTATAATTCTGGTCTCTTAAAATATCAAAGAGAAAAAAACAATGTCTAAAAAACTAAAGCAGTTTTTTTAAATTAAGGAAAATATAAGTCTAAAATTTAACTACAGGTTGATGAAAAATCAGGTGTAATGTATACTGTGTTTCTGGGTAGACCATCTCTTCAATTAGATCTTAAACACTGTTCTTACCCCTTCAGAGAAATTTTCTTATAATCTGAATGAGAAGAACAATCTTTTGAAAATCCCTAAAATGGCTAATTGCTTACATTTTTATTATTTAATCTCTTATTCTGAAAATGCTTTATATTTCCTAGGATAAAAAAAAGGACACATTTGTGGACTTCATTTTTTTTCTAATTTTATCCACTAAAGTTATTAGAAGTTTAAAGACTTTTTATTTTTTTGGTATTGGGATATCTAACAAATTGAATCTAACCAGAGCTCAATATGATCACTACCTTGACAATTTCATATTTTTCTTACTGTATCACAAATGATAATAAATGGACCTATCAGTTTTATTTTAGTCACAGCTACTTAAGTCAACTTGAAACTTAGAGCTTATCTGAAAATTTAAAGTCTCCTTTACCATGATGTTTCCAGTCCAATATGGGCCAACCATGATTTCATCTGTTCCTGACCATCCATATCTTAGAATATATATTGCAATTTGGACAACATAACTATACATTATTTTAATATATTTCTAATTTTTCTCATGTTAAACTTTTATTTAGATTAAAATTTCTCAAGGGCAGCTGCATTCTTGGTTACCCCATAGTATTTGATCCACAGTTACCCAATAATGTTTCTTTTTAATTGAATACATGTGCTTACTAAAAAAAAAAATGATTTATATTTCTGAGAAAAAAATGTAGCCAAGATATCGTTTAAATTCATAAAATTGATGTAATCATTTAGTAAAAAGAACAAATCTGGAAGCTTTCCTTATTTTTTTTTTAATTACTGTAAAATTTTCTTCTTTTAAAATTTCTTTTAGCAAGCTCTATTTCCAAGATTGGCTCAGATCCTCTAAAATTCGTACATCAAGCAGTGGAGGAAACTACTGACTGGGTCTATGGCTTCTTTTCTTTGTTGTCTGACATCATCTCATCTGAGGGTGATGAAGAAGAAGAAGATGAGGGGGACGAGGATACTGATACAGGTACAAAGAGCAAAGAGACATATTTAACTGCTGGGACCAATTTTAGATACTCATCCTAGGGGTTTGCTTATATTTAAGCAAAAATGAGAACTTGGGTCAATCTTTCTAAACCAAAATGAATATACTAGTACTTCTGAGTGCTTATAGAGAATCAACAGAATGCCAAATGCAGTAAATGTGTCTCATTTGGTTTTCACCTTATAGTTTATATGCAATTATGGCAAATATGTCAATAGTAAATGCTACCATCAAAGTAGCATTATAGTAAAAGTTCTTATTTTGTGTTACTTTAAACCCACAATTGTAATATTTACAAGTTTCTCGGAAGAAAGTTAATAGCTGTTTCGCAAGTGTATTCTTAGAAAAGCTGAAATAACTACAAAACTAAATATACATATAGATGTTTTATGCACATAAATGATGATCTTATTCAAATCCTATTAAAATCATATTCAAAAGTAAATTTATTGAATTAAATGAAGGCATAGAATAGAGGGACACATTCTAAATTTTATGACAATTATGCAAATATATGTAGTCATATACTAATAAATAAAAATAAATAAACTCAAATTACACATAAATTACTATTGAATAGTTGTGAAACGACAAAGCATTTTGATTCTGCATTTTAGTAAAATTTTAATTATCCTTGATTACCAGGAAAGCTCCTATTATTTTAGCCCTTTATATGACTTTGTCTGAATTTGTATTTGGCCCCAGTGAGAGGTGGAGAAGAACAACAGAGAACTGAAATTAACATGATATACAAACTATGATGTATAATATGGATCACTGCCACAATTTTATTGAACGCATAAAAGTACAACCATATCTAATAAATGTACCTAAACAAAGCTCATGTTTAAAAACTGGAATTTTGAAAACAAAACAATATAAGGATTTTTGTTGTCAAAACAAATAGATGTTTTTTTAAAAAACAAAAAAATAAAATGGGAAAATAGAGAAGCAATATTGTGCTATGTTAAAAGATGTTCTAATTTATTGTTTTTTGTCTTGGTTTAGGAGAAACAGAAGAGCCTCCCTTGAAAAAAAAAGGTTGGTGTTTTTTGTTTGTTTGTTTGTTTGTTTCACTTTTGAAGCTAAAATCTTTCTCTGTGGTAATATTGATCTTCAGCAATACCTAAATATATTTTACTTGAGTTTTAGGCTTACGTTATTTTTAATATAGAGTATTTAATGATTAGATCAAGATTTATAGTTAGATAAAGAAATACTCAGTTCTTTCCAGTGAAACTGAACCCATTCTTTTTCAGCTGGTTATTTAATTGATGCCTTCTTCGATAGATGTGTGAATCCATCTAACTACAGACCTATGTGAATTGGGATTGTGGGAATGAGGGCTGCATTCTGTAGTCTTGGAAATGCCCCAAGAAGATATCCATGTTCTTTATTCTCCACATGGCCAGATTTATTGATTCTAAATTTGTATTCTTATTTTATTACTAGTGTCTTGGTGCATGGATTGGTGCACATTGAAAGGAAATTAATTAGAAGAAATATTTTAATATCGTTATTCGCCCTTTCTCTATAACAGAAGTGTCAACCAAATTCATGCTCAACAATGACAGATTGAAACACTTGCTGTGTTTTAACAGTTTTATTTTATAATCTGAATGATAGTCTCAGAAACATTTAATCTTTATTCATCTAAAGTATTATTTATTAACATCTTCATTAATATTTTTCCCATTCAGATATATTTAGCTAAGTTATATTATATATATTTAGCTAAATATTATATTATATATATTTAGTTAATATAACTTAGCTAAATATTATAATATTTAGCTAAGTTTATATTAACTAAATGACCAGGCTTTTGTTGTTCATTCAATTGCTGGTGTCTATATGAAGCATTTTTATTTAAATGCACTTAAAGTGTTAAATTTGTAATTGCTCTTTGAAATAAGGGGCTGCCGTTAAGTTTGAACAGGACCACATATGATGACTGATATTTCTGTAAGATTGTACCTGATGCATGTCAACGGCACAGGAAGTCTCTTCTCTGCTTAGAGCAAAACAAATTACATCCTCCTTATAGTTGTGTTTTTAAATTGCCCTAAAGCTTCTCAGGTCAAAAAGAGCCCAGTAAATTTAAGCTCAGTTCCTTCATTGTGTATTTTTCTCACTTTATTGAAATCCACAATAGCTCTTTGCAGTCAGGTTGAATAAGGAAGAGCCAGGAAATTTGAGCATCATAAATATTCAAGACTTTAGGATTAGGCCATTGAGAAGATTGCATCGAGTCACCGTGAGTAAGATAGATGGACAAGTTCCCGTGCCACAGATTTCATTGCATCCATCTTTGCTGGCAGCTTCAGCGACTTAGACCAGGCTGGACATTAAGTGCCTGAGAAAATATGGGGAGAAAAGGAGGGAGAATGGAAAGGTAACTAAACTTGTTAAAATTCATAGCCTCAGAATATTGGTTACTAGGTAGGTCACAGTAACATTGTTAAGAAGGTACATTTATTTTTGGACCTCTTTAAATAAGGCTCGATCAGAGCTCATTGCATAGCTGCACGGTTGTATACTGCCCTCCAGCTCAGGCGGAACTCTATGCTTTAAATTCTGTCTTTCTCAGTATTGATCAGATCAGTGGTGACCGGGTAACCAAGCCCAGGGAGAACAGACAGTGGGCTTGGAGGTGTGCATTAGGATGAAAAAGGCTGAGGAAGCAGAAGTCAATGGAAATATGGCGAATGACCCAGAAATCCACTTCTCAAGTAGTTGCAGGTGTTGTGAGTTCTGGACGCACCATGGCAGGCAATTTGAATACCATTTGCTACTTGTCTCCATCAAGGCAAGGAAACTAGAACCAAGATGAGGAAAAGAACAGGCCAAAGAAAGCAAGAGATCAGATTTTGGCACCAGCTTCATGGGGAATGAAAAGGCTGTCTGAGACAACTCCACACAGGCCCAACCATTCTAAGTCGTTCTTGTTAGAACAAGAATAATCTCAGTGCTGCTAAGATTACCTCTAAGTAAAACTGGGCACGTAATTGAGGTGTGTATGAATGGAAAGCTGTCAAGTCTACTGTATTCCAGACTCTTTTTCCCCTTTAGCTCTGTATGTTTCTTTTTTCCTAAATCATGATAAACTAATGTGCAGGTTAAATCCAGATGGCTTAATGTGATTCCTGTTCCAGATTATGTATTTTAATTTAGAAAAACTGGCTGAAAAATAAGTTTAAAAAAAATCAAAACAGAGCCCAGTCCCTGTGGCTCAGTGGTTGAGCTTAGGCCTATGAACCAGGAGGTCATGGTTTGATTTTCAGTCAGGACACATGCTTGGGTTTTGGCCTTTATCCCCAGTATGGGGTATGCAGTAGACAGCCGATCAATGGTTCTCTCTCAGCATTGTTTCTATTTCTCTCTCCCTTTCCTTTCCTCTCTCTGAAATCAATAAAAATATATTTTTTTAAAATCAAAACAGAAAAGTTATCAGTGGTTCTCAACTTGTGTATCAAATTCAAGTGATGTCTTAATTAGAATTATTTTGTCCAAAAAAAAAAAAAAATCCATTTCAAACTGGCTTGGTGGTAAATATACTTTTTTAGAGGCCTGGTGCATGAAATTTGTGCATGGGGGGGTGGGGTCCCCTCTGCCCAGCCTGCACTCTCTCCAATCCAGGAACCCTTGCGGGTGTCCAACTGCTGGTTTAGGTCTGATCAGGCCTAACCCGGCATTTGGACATCCCTCTCACAATCCTGGACCACTGACTCCTAATCACTCACCTGCCTGTCTGCCTGGTAACCCCTAACTGCCCCCTGCTGCTGGCAAGGTAGCTCCCAACTGCCCCCTTCTTGCTAGCCTTGTCTCTCCTAACTTCCCTCCTCCACCAGCCTAGTCACCCGTCACTGGCCCCCCCCTGCCAGCCTAATTGTTCCCAACTTCTCCCATGCCATCCTTGTTGCCCCCAACCGCCCCCCTTGCCAGCCTGGTCATTCTCAACTGCACAACTCCCCTGCAGACCTGGTCCCCTCTTACTGTCTCCCCCACCCGCCCCCCCACGCCAGCCTGGTTACCCCATGCAGCTTGCTTGTTCAGTTGTTTGGTCATCCTTCACTAACCTCCCTGCTAGTCTGGTTGCCCCACACAGCCTGCTTGTTTAGTTGTTTGGTCGTCCTTCACTTACTGCCCTACTGGCCTGGTCATAGGCAGCTATCTTGTGAGGGTGTGATGGTCAATTTGCATATTATCTCTTTATTATTATATAGGATTACTTCAAATAAGTGAAAAATACAAGAAAAAACTGGCTGGAAGATATCTAGATTTAGGCTTTTTAACATCATTGGTACCCCTCCCTCTTTGCTCCTGACCTTGCTTTGTTCATGTGTTTTATTTGTTTAATTCTCGGTCAGGATATCCTCTCCATGGCAATTATAATCAACAGAAGTTTGAGGCATATATATCATATAAAGAAAAGAAAATATATATATATTTTTTCAGGAGAGAAGAGTATGCTTTTCCCCAAGTATTTCAGCAAAACCAGTGTATTTGACTCTCCTTGATTTGTATCATAACTCAAACGTGCTCCATGGAACAGCCGCATTAGCATCTTCTGAGAGTGAGTTAGAAATGCAGAACCAGGCTTCTTCTAAACCAACCGAATCAGAATCTGCATGTTAAGAAGACTCCCCAGGCGACTCATATGCACATTAAAATTTGAGAAACATCAGTCTAGACAGTATTCTGACTGTGGTTCTAAAACCACCTGAGAGCTGACTGAAATTGGAGAGCTCTAAAAGGTTCCTCACCATGAGAGACTACAGTAATTGATTAAGTTTGGACTGCAGCTCAGGAATAGATTTTAAAATCTCCCCAGATGATTCTGATGTGCAGCCACATTGATCCTGTCTAGTATATCATCCAGTATGAAGCTCAAAACCTTTTCCAAATCTGTAAACTCCACTAGTGATTATCTCCTAAACGGTATCATATGTAATCATTTTCACCTCTGTCTGGTTTATGGTCATGTGGGAAATAGCACCTCGTTTTATAATTGAGAAAACAAAATTCAAAGGAAAAGATGGATTAGTGTGAGATGACTAAATTAATGGTAAAAATGAATGGAATAGGTGTTATCTTCATCTTAAATTTTTACTTTATGACATTTTTTCAAAGAAACCTAACAGAATAAAAATCCAAAGTATTTTTATGTTTATGGCATTCAACATTACTGAAGAAAACTGTCCTCAATATTTCTCTATCACTGTATCTGACGTGTATGTCCACTGAATTATAAGCACAAGGTGCTTTGAGGGGGAGAAATATTTTTCTTTATTTCCTCAATAATAGTTGTACTTTCCTCAGAATTTTTGTTTACCAACAAAAAATCATGGAAAAATACAAAGACTTATACATCATTTGTTATATTTATCTAAAATAGTGAGAATTTAACAAAAACAAAAAAATCCCCATAATATTTTCTAATTAGTTACTAAAAAGATGAAAAGGTTTGGTTGATTCTTTGTCGTAATTAACTTTCGTATGCTAATCACACTTGGCAGAATCTTGCAAATAGAGATATGTTTAAATGAATAAATAATTTGAATTTTTAATATTAAAATTAGAAAAAATGTAATTGAGCATTTTATATTGTCTGGTGCTTGCAAGATATATATAGAAACCATTATGATAAAAGGCATTCTTTGAAATTCACAATCCTCATAATAATTTAATAAACTTGGTTGTCATCTAAAAGAATCAGGATGGTTGCCTTGGTGACAGAGAATACCCCTTCAACTTCTTGAGTCTGTCATTTAAAACTCTTGATTCATAATATTTTTTAATTTATTAACAATGTATCATCCAGATAGGGAAAAATTGCTTTAAATTGGCCACGTAAATCTTAAACAAAATTATAAATTTACCTACTCAACAATAAGCTTTGTTATGATTATAAGTAGGTAGAAACTACTTATCACAAGCAAAATGCATGTAGTATATCAAAAGAATTCAGAAAGACTTCACTACAAAATAAAATTATTCTTCAGAATCATTAGAGCAACCTAGTTTCACTAATTTTGGTC